ACTTGAAAGTTGTTTATAATACAACACTGTTGATTTTTCAACAATTATAAGTCATCCGCAGAGTATAGTTCAATAAAAATTTGTTTAAATTAAATCTATAGTCTCTGCGGCAAAAAATGTAAGAGTTATAAGGTAAATTGCTTGGTCATGATTTATCAAAATTAAATGTTTAGATTAGTTCATCAATTGAATCTAGATCTTTTTGATCGTTTTTTCTTAGAAACTTTCTTTGTAGAGCTATTCGTAGATAAATTTTTATTTTTTGTAGGATTATCAGTTGATGTATCAAAATTATTTATGCCATCAACATTGTTAGATAGTTCTATGTTATTTACTAATTTTTCTAGTTCGATTGTATTAATTGTTTTATTAAACACATAGGAGTCTATAATTTCTTGCGGAATTCTTTTGAGCAACACAAAAGGATCTATAAATGTCAAAATTATAAATTAATGTTTTGATAACAATTTTATACAAATTAAATCATTTTTATATTAAAAAGTAATTATATTATTATAAAATGACCAAATCTTTTTTATAAACACCATTGGAACTTTAAAAAGGAATATATAAAAATAAATATTACTATGATAATTTCATAAGAATTCGTATGTTATTTTCAAATCAAAAATGAAAAATGTGTTTAAAGTNTGACTTATAAATTATAATACAACAATAATTTTGTTGAAATTTTATTTTCTTCAAAATTTTAAAATAGCCATTATTCAGCCTTATCTTACAAAAAAGTTTTGTGGGTCGATGATAATATTAGGACAAGTACATATTAAGTTATTATTTCAACGAAATTATTATTTGATCAAAAATAATAAAATATGTCTAACCTAGTTGGACATCCTGTATAATTGTTTGGGGTAAAAAGAAATCCAATTAGCACCCTCCAAAACGTTAGTTAAATGTTAGATTATTTTATGGTTTAAGTGTTATATGTATAATTAAGTGACTTAATTAGACTAAATTTAATTATTAAAAACTAAAGCTCTATGAAATATACTTCATTAATTTATTACTTGAAACATTAAAACAAAATATAACTCTAAAATACACTAATAATAAATTTAAAAATATATTATTTATATTAGCTGATACTATCAAACTGTTATATATATATTCTAACAATGGAATTTGATTTTTTTTTTATAAGAAAAACAAAGGCGTTATTTAGGTGGAGACAACTAGGCTTTTTACCCAGTCTAAATTTTCAATACATATTGAGGCCGTATAGTGTTTTAAATCGCAATATTAGCAAGACACAAAATATCAAGAGTGGGGGACAGCTGACATACTTTACCCACTCATCCTATGCACATGTGTATATTATTATAAAAAAAATGACACTTACTCATATGATTGACTTTGTCGGATGGTATTTCCACATTAATTGGATTTGATTTGTTTTCAGTAGATATCTCGACGTTTGACACGTCAGGAGTTTTATTCTTACGATTTGAATTAAGAGTATAAGCATTATTTACTTTGTCTTCATATTTATTTGTTAGTCTAAGTTTTTTACGTGAATCGTTAACGTCGTCGAGATGAGGTCTCTTCTTTGATTGAAACGTCTTGGAAGTTTCAGGCTTTTGAATCTTTGAATCCTCGTCTTCATCAAATGTTAAAAGATCTTTATAAAATTTTATAATTTTACGTTTATTTGGACGTTTGCCAACATAATGAGGATTTGTACGTATGTTGATGTTGATGACAGGAGTTCTATTCTTTTTTCGATACGTCTT